TGATCAATTTCAGATTGAAGAAGTTGGTAGAATTCTTCTATTTCATCTTCACTGGCTTTAGTGGTTGGTGCGTAAATTTGAATAATAGTGGTATTAACTGGGCTTCCCTGTAGGCGAATGGGTATTATCCTATCACACACAGCGTTGTACCTCATGACTGATTTGGATATATTCTTTTTGACAATGAGTGCAACACCATTCCTCTTCAATTTGTCATTTCTAACATAGTAAACCACATGGTCATCAGATTCAAAATAGCCAATGCCAGTCTATTTCAGCTCACTAATACCTAAGATATCAATGTTTATGTGTTCCATTTCATTTTTGACAACTTCCAATTTTCCCAGATTCATACTTTGTAAGTACTGTTAGTGATAGGATAATATCCATATGCCCTAAGAAAAATCTGGTGTGGCAATGTAGGATAACCACTGGGCCACAAAGTTGGTTTAAAACTCAAGGTTGTCAGTTCAAACTCACCAGCTGCTCCTCAGAAACCCTATACAGGGTCACTATGAGTCAGAAACAACTTGATGGCACTTAACAACAGCAAGAAAAAATCAGTTAATATGACTTATTAAAATTTGTGCTCTAATCACTAATGTAAAAAATGAAGAAATAGAAAAAAATTTTCAAAGGCCTGCACTCTGAAACTTATCAAACATGAAATCAAGGTGCATTGTTGTTTTCTGTGTACCAGTCTATGTTATTACAGTGTTAGTGTAAGTATAGCGTCCTGGTGTAGCATTGTAAGATGAACACTGGGCTGCTAACCACATGTTCGGCTCCTGTGTAAATCCTATACAGGGTCACTATAAGTCAGAACCAACTCGACAGAACTTAACAAGAATACAAGTGTGCAGGAGCATCTAAGATGGGAAGAAATTTAGAAAACCATTTGAAAAACAGTTGAGTGTTTGTTGTGGGATTATGGTTAAATATTTTGTCTTGGTTTCCTCAATGTTCTTTAACATAGTGTTTTGGTAATCCGCCCTTCTTACATATATTTTTACTATAAAAGTAGTACATGTTCATTATAGAGACTTAGAAATTGCAGCAATGTAGAAGAGAACTTTGTCCATGTGTTTGCTGTCCAAAGCCTCTGGTTAACATCTTAATGTATTTTCTTCGTCTTGTTTCTGT